GGGGAACGGTCCTTAACAAGAAGGGTCCAGTTCTTATAACTGTTCTGCCCTCACAGGTCTCTAGAAAAGCCATGTGTTAAAAGCCTGTATTTGCAACCTGTATGTGTCAGTAGACTGCATGTACCTCCTGGGAGGTGAGATGCAGGCAACAATATGTTGGCTTATAAGGTAGTCTTTTAATTAGATGTCTTAATTGACATAGAGCTGCATAAGCATACTTGGGGTAAAACTGAACATTGGTTGTGCTTGTAACATATTGACCAAAATATGTCAAAACTAACTAGTACTCTCCCGGCTGCATGGGACATGGGTACAACTAAAACTGCTAACCTAGTCTAGATTTTCTCTATCTTACTGAAAAGCATTATGGGAAAGTTTCGATTCACCAAAGTTGTGATGGGCAGAAGAGATGAAAATGTGGAGAGATGAGTATTTATGGGCCCATCTGGTGATGACTGTGGCCTACAGAAAACTAAGACTTGTAATATAAGAGGGGTAAATGATAAAGAACATGAATTAACAAATGAAATGAACAAAAATAGATGTTATGTATTTGTGAAACTAAGAGAAAGGGGAAGCATTTAACAAATCTGAGTGAAGGTGATCTGATCTTGTGGAGCGGATGACAGCTCCATATTATATTCCAGGGAATGAAAATGAAAGAACCGGGGATGAGCTTTGTGCAATATTCTGAATGAATGCAATTAGAGGAAAAATTAATTCTCTTAGATGACATAAACTGATGGATGGAAAATAGGATTGCATAAAATATTCTATGCCTCGAACAGGTAGCATTGGGTGGCCTATGCAAGGTGTAAAACATATGTATTTTGTCCAGGCATAAACTCATAATGTGTGTTCCAAGCAGAGGTGTTCCAGGGTGGAAGTCACTGGGAAAGTACAAAGCTATAAGTATGGTATGCAATATCAGCTAAGTGGAGGTAAAGGGGTGGAAAGCACTGAGAAGATGGGGAAGGTGTGCTAAAATGGTTGGGTATTTCTCGCCAGCTGGGGAGAGAGGCATGTGAGCCAAACAGATAGGGCAACAACAGCTTCAGGGAAGGAGAGTCCTGGAAAGATTGGGAAGAGGGTTTGGTGAACCAGCTGGGTATGCTGCATTTGAATTCAGCTTGGCAGCAAAGTGGTAAGATGAGCAGGCCATGGAGAAGGAGCAAGGTACGCCACCTTTGTCCTATTTGTCTATAAGTCCCATCTGAAATTCTTTTGGATGAAATCCGAAACAACCAAAGTATTCTGGGTTTCAGTTTGGTTGGACATTTTCCAATTGGTGCCCATCCTTGGTAGGGATGTATTGGCAGAATTCTGTTTGAAAGGGTAGAAGAGGTGATAATCAGCAACATTTGGAAAATGCAGTGTGACTTTATGCCAGCCAGGAGGTGTATCGTCCAGGTCTGTTCTTCTGCAACTTGTTGACAAATATGTGAATGTGAGAACATGTTTGTTGATTTAGAGAAAAGGTATGAGGATGTCAATAGGCATGAATATGGGACTGAAGGTTGGTTGCTTGAATGCAGTAAGAGTGATCCGTGATGGAAGTAAAGACTAAGTGGAATAATTAACAAATGGTTCAACATTTAGCAGGGAGTAAGACACGAATGTGTAATGACCCCTTGATTGGTGTTTGTATTTATTGATTATAAGTACACAAATGAGGGTACCTTGGTAGAATGTTTATTAAACTTGGGAAATTGTTAACACATACTAATGTTGATAGGTAGTGAATAATTTGGGCTTTTTTGCAAGGAATGAAAAGTAACAGCTGTGTTTAAGAGTGTGCTTCTTCCCACTTTCTTATATAGAAGTGAGTTTGGTACATCAGAAGAAACAAAACTAAATTGAATGTAATGTGGGCTACCTAATAAATATGTGTACTAAGTTCAGAAATCATAAGATCAAGAATGAATGGCTGATGAATGAATGTAAATTGAATACACAGGTAAGTGATCTCTATAAAAGAAGTACATTGGGTTGGATTGGTTGTTTATGGAGAATAAATGAAGGTCAAATGTATGAAGGAAATGTGAATGGGTTGACAGGAAAGGGAAGACTGAGAAAATCATGACTGGACAGATTTCTTAACATTCTCAAAATGAGAGAGGTGAGAAATTTAAAGAACAAAAGGTCACGTATCAGTTGATGCTCAGACATGGGGAAACATGGGCGGTTTGCAAAGATAAAAAAAGTATGGAGAAGTATAGTGAGTTGGTGGTGGTGTAAACTAGACTTAGCAATATTTTCTTCTTTTTTCTTACAGCTTATCTTTAATTTCCTTTGCTTACTATTTTTTACTTCTTTTCTGCACTTTGCATTACAAAAGGAAAGAGATGGTTATTTATCTACCAATGTATGTACTGTATTTTAAATTGCATTAACATGTTCTGCAACAGCTGAACAGATGGCATTTCATATGTCAGTAGGCATGCATGTAATTAAATTAAGAAAAACAATATAAAAAGTTCCATAGTAATTCAAGGAACCTCCCCCTGAAATGTACCTAATATCCCAGCAGTATGCTGAAGTGGGAGCATCTCATAATTCATGGCTGACACTAGCAAGGCAGGAAGGAAAAAGTCTCTGTAAACCCAGAGCAGGCACCCACTACTTTCCTGCCTTAAGAAAGAGCATTAAAAAATCTATTGCTCCTAAAGAGATTTTTTTTTCTTCCTAGTGTTTTCCCCAAGGGACAGGTGCTGGTTTTTTGTTTTTTGGATCAACCAAATGTTGATCCATTGGTTGCAACAGGAATTGACCAACCAGCTAGTCACCAGAGCCTGATGTTGTGGGCCAAGAGAGAGGGACTGGCCCAAAGTTACCCAACCAACTTTCATGCCTAAGGCAGGACTAGAACTCACAGTCTCCTGCTTTCTAGCCTGAAGCCTTAACTATTAGGCCAAACTGGCAAATGAGATCTAGGATTTGAGCCCACACATACAGCTAGCTTCTTCCTTCTATCTGCAATAGCCATCCTCTTCTACCATGTGTTCAGCTTTGGAAGAAATGCACATGGAGTGGTAAGGGAGGAAGGGGATCCCTACCTAGCCAATCAGATCAGCCAAATCAACCCTGTGATCAACGTGTTGACAGATGTCACAGTCAGATTGCCCTCACATCCTGGCTAGATTTCTGTATTCTGTAGTAGTTGATCTTCTGCACAATTATATTGTCTGCTAGTTTGCAATAAAACTGTTATCTACTCATAATTGATCCTTGAAGGTTCTGTTGTTAGCTAGTCATTGATTTTGGGGACCAAGTATTTGAAGAGTCAGAACTCAGGTTGAACCTGAGTGAAGTCTGATAACTCATGAGACATTCTGAAGTATCAGTGGGCAACTGAATGAATGGATGGATAGAAGGAGGAATGAAGAAAAATAGTGATGCTATTGAACAATCCTAATCCCTCAGCTGATTGTACAGAGACCCCAAATCCTGCGGGAAGTGCAGATATAAATTTCATTTGTCAGTAGAATGGTTTTTCAACCAGAATTAATATCTTTAGCATACATACATTTTCTTCCTTTTGTGGCACCATGGCATCCTTGCGAGAATCTTCTATCCCACCTTTAGTTGGAGGTATACCTTATTGCATACAGTAACTAGGACTGACCATAGTAAGGTTCTGCACTCTTGTTCAAACTGTGTATAGCTGACTCCTCTAGTTAGCAGTGAGTTCTTACAGATTTGGCTACATGATTCCAGATTTACATCTTTGGCACTGAACAGGTCTGACAATTAGAAATGTCTCAGTAGTAGAAACAAAAGCAAAGATCCCACCCTACATGCCTCACTTCCAAAGACTTCAAGAAAATATCATCACAGTGAGGTCTGGGGTCATTCCTAACTACTTACCTAGGCCTAGATAATGCATCTGCAATCCCATTTTATGTTCTGTACTACACTTCTCATTCTGAAAGATCAGAGAAACTGCAAAAACCCTTCTGTCTTACCCTTTGCTCTTCTGGTTCAGTCTTTTAAGGAATGCTTGAGTGACCATTAAGGCTTCCTTCTCTTTTAAGAGCAGGTTCCCTGAAGTATTGCACTTCAAATCAATCCAGTCTGACCGTAAAGCTTGGAAGTCTACATTGCTTGCCTTGAAAGTCTGCTTCCAATTCACTACTGGATCAAACAAAAAAGCAGGAGCAGGAAATAAGCCATCTTCGTTTTCATCTGCCTCTTCTTCTTCTTCGTCGTCTTCTTCAACTATTGTAATGTGCTTTTCCTTTTGCGCTGCTAGGTGGGCAGAATCAGTCCTGACTTGCTGCTGGGAATCTAGATCCATCCTACCCAAAACGACATTAGCAGCATCTGCGGCTTTATGTTGGGCTATGTATGAATCTACTTGATTAAGCCATTGGTCCTCATGAATAGGCTGTTCCTGGAGACTTGCCTTGCCAGTTTCTTCTTCAAGTCTTTGGGATTCCCTTCTAGCTCTGGTGGTATCTAATGATGCTTTTTTGTTTCTGGTTGCATTAAAGCTTAACTGAGCTTGACTGGGTTCTCCTTCTGTTAAATTTCCATGTTCCTTAACCATCTTCAGCCTTTTGTTAGTCTCCAAATCCTTGCCTCCTTCTTTCCTCTTGGTTGTTGATCTGTGGACATTCCTGTCATGATCAGGAGGGTTTTGAAAGTTTTCGTTGAATATCAGATGTGAGGTCCTTATTGTAGAATAACTTTCTGCTTTGGTTTTATATCTCTTCTCATCTTTCTTCTGTCTCTTTTTGGTAACTGACAAGAGATTCCGATGCTTCTGAGGGGAATCAGCATAAACGTTGCCATATTGTACAGCTGTAATATGATCTTTTTCAGGCTTTATCTCTTCCACTTCTGGATCTGCATACTGAGCATCTTCTAAACTTTCTTCTTCATAAACTGCAAGAAATCATACAGTTACAGAATGTCCACTTTTTCTTTCTCTTATCTGTATTCAATACTCTAAGGCACCTAAATAATTGAATATTAGAAATAACATATTGTATCAAAACTTAGACAATGGAGCAACTATATTAGCAACTATGGCTAGATTTAATAATATGTTGAAAGTCTGAGCTAGTTCTGTATTAACACTTTATGGATATATTTTTAGTTTCTTCAAATGTCACTCATTCGATCACTATTCTGTATATTCTCTTCTGATTCGATTAGCACTGATATATTTTTGGTTGTACTTCATCATATCTTCTGGTTGTTATATTTCACCAATAAAATATTTTTTAAAAAGAAATCATACAGTTACATATCTTATGTCTATTATTATGTCTCCAAATTTTGACTAAACAATGAATTCACCATCCCACCTCATTTTCTGGCTTGCATCAATCTATCCCCAAAGAGCTATTGTTTCTTGAGCTAAGAGATACACAAATGTTTTTGAAGAGTGTTGTAGAAAGTACGAGAGAGGCATTGTTACAAGTTGGGTACAAAACTGAAGTGCTGCAAAAAACTGCATTTTTCATTTGACTACAGATAATGGACCCCGAATATTTATATTAAAGGTGCTGAGTTGCCTACAAAAGCTTTTTGTATGGCCTCCAGAGAGCCCCAAAAGTTGTGGCTTAACTGTAATCCTTTATCTAACAGAAGGGGAAATTTGTTATATATTTTTTTCTTCCTAGAGTACTCATATCAACAGAATTTAATTTTTGTTACATATAAGTTAACGTAAATGAAACTAAATCAAACATATATTTTATTCTGGCTACTCTTCGGAAAGCAGCTTCTAGCATGACACTCAAAAGTAATCTCTCTACCCAGAAAATGTTATGCACCCCAGAAAAATAATAGCCTAATTTTCATTTCCAAACTAGGTATGTTAAAGCTATATAATATATTTCACCCAAAATCTTTGATGGGATTGTACTTTTATTTTTAAGCGTTATTTTTTAAATAAAAAACTAAAATGCAGCTTCTGGAAGGGTGGCCAATTTGCTCATTGTAACAGTGTGGAAATAGGATATTTTCCCAGTATAAATTCTGCATTGGTTGCTGTTGGCAAGGGAAAAAGATGAAGGCATTCTCCAGTTTTCTGTTGATGCAGTTTTTGTATTTTGAACCAAGAAAGATATATATGCTTCCACATGAGCCAAACATCTTGTCCAAATTAGCAATTTATTCACTGTGGATGCAAGAGATAAAGAATTGCCTCTTAGGATTTAATCTATAGCTGACTTTACATTTTGTAAGATTTATCAGTCTTAAAGCACAAAAGAGAGAAAGATGAAACTAGCTTCCACATCTGTCATAAAGATACATGCCTTGTGTTTTTGATTCTTCTTCCAAATCCAAACTTTTCTCTTCTGATGGATCCATTTGCATGTACTTGGAAAATCCATACCTGCAAGATTTATAAGCATGCCAATTACTTCACATTGCCAGCATTTAACATCCCCTCTTACTCTGAAACTTCTTCAGTTTCTGGAGACTATTTTTATACAACCAAGAGAATCAAGTGATAATGATTTTCCCAAACTGTGCCACTTTCAGGCTTCAGACAACCAGTTGTATTCTTTTGTCTTTCCCAAAATACAGGAAAACTACATGTCAGCAAATTATCAGTTGCACTTTTCTACTGGATTGGCTCATTTTTAATGTTTACTAGACAATCCATGACTCGTTGGGTTCATGTTTCAGAGATATTTCCTTACCGAAACAGAATGACCATGGATGGGCAAAAAAGCAGTGGGAGCGGGAGCAACTTCCGACTTCCTGCCGGCTTCCCCATTGACTTTCTTTGTGGGAAGGTAGCAGGGAGCGTTGGAAACCTACCTACCTACCTACCTACCTTCCTTCCTTCCTTCCTTCCTTCCTTCCTTCCTTCCTTCCTTCCTTCCTTCCT